AGAAAAACCGGGTGACTAATGTCAGGAAATAAAATATTAAATGAAAAGAATGAATGTTGATTCAGCAATGATTATTATATAAATTCTGTGCAAATAAACAGTCTACTGAAACTTTGACTGTTCTCCGCAGCTTATCAAAAAGACTGATCAAACTAACCTCAACTTCTACTTAAAAAAAAAGTTCTTCCCCACTCACACAAGAGAACGTCACCCTTCTCCCAAGTTATAACTATTAAAAGAGAAAAACGACAATTCACTATCTCACTGCAATGATAATTCTAATGCTTCAAACGAAATTTGCCTTAAAATGCATACCATAAGCAATTATAATATATTAATGAATAAATAGCTTATTGGGAAGAAATATGTCAAAAGAACATAAAAATGAATGAGTTTATTCCAGAAGTGAAAAAAAGTAAAATAAATTTCTGAACCAATATGAAGGTCAGCAACAATAGCAGAAAAAAATTGACATATGCTATCTTCTCAGTCACCGATATCTTCGACACTCTGAGCCAAAAAATAAACTTAAAAAAGAACGTTGAGAGAGATTAAAAATTTTTGTAAGATAAATGCCACAAATGTTAATATATCAACCAATAACAGTTTACCTCATGATAAACCTCATTTCCATATTACTCTTTGGTTTTTGATTCCTTTTTTTTTTCTACTGTTGTTCTACGACGATGTCAGCGAACAAAAAATTATTAAATATTGATTTAGCAAGTAGCTAAAAAAACAAACAATGCCTCCAAAATATCTCACAAGAAGTGAATAACAATTTTTTTAAATTATAAATTTTTTTTCCAATTAGATTCCTCTGATAGCAACAAATGATAAAATTTTGGCTTCAAAAATTATCGAATCAAAACAGAAAAAAATTCTTTATTTCTCTTTTTTTTTTAAGAAAAAAAAGGCAAACAAATGTGAACACTCATGAATCGATACAGTCAACGCAATTATAACTGGTTTTGGTACTTGTAGAAGAAAGCAAAAAATAAAATAAAATAAAATCTATGCTATTATTCTAATAATTCTTTGATTTGCAGATATGTACGCTCAAAACTTATTCGATGCAAATTGAAGAATAATGTGTGCTGAGTTTTAGCATAACTGTTGCGCCCAGCCTTACCCCCATCCTCCCGCCTCATATAGCTAACACTCAGTCATCACTAGTTTATTTCCTCCCCATATCCTTCTGTTGCCCTTGAGACCTACTTACATATGCAGTAGTTTCAAAACAACTTCTCGCTAAAACTGTCAATTTAAAAACCTCAGCACTCCCCTCTAAACATTTGTCTATGAAAACGGAAATAATGCAAATACTACTTCACATACAATGGTAGCCTATAAATTACTGAATTTTATAAAACGTCTCAGCGATTAAGGTTTTTTATAATCACTAAATGCGCATACAATCTACTTCCAGTAAAAGTTCAAAAAAAAAAGTGTTTCCCTGTCATTTTCGACAAAAAATCTTTTTCCCAAAAAAGTAAAGAAGTTAAACAAGTCCAAATAATTCGGTATAAGAAGAACCCAAGACATATAACCTACCATCAGCAAAAGTGCAAAGTATTGACAATAGGAACGTTTGATCAACCCTTAAGTGAACAACAACAATATCAGCAACAACACCATCGCCACCGTTTCCACCACCACCACAAACAGGAAAAGCAACAGCAACAACAAATCCAGGACGTGCTCTGCCGACGATTGATTTTGCAGGAATAAAGTGAATTTAAAATCAAGCATTTGGCAGCCTGCCAACAGCGTATCGACAATGCTTCAGGCTACTCGGCTGTCTCTGTGCCGCCGCACCATACGACAGATGTGTGTTCGTCTGTTTGGATGGACGTGGTCCAGTCGACTGACGCCCCCATACAGCTGCTTTGTTTGCTGGCGGCTTTATGCTCTATGTTCAGAATTAAACCA